CTAGATATCCTGAACTCACTCTGTAGACCAGGCTGGCCAACTCACAGATATCCACCTCCATCTGCCTCCAAAGTGCTGGGATTAAAGGTGTGCAACACCACTGCCTGGCTAACATTTAACTTTAATAATATTCACTCCAGGGCTGGAGAGACAGCTCAGTTGCTGAGAGTGCTTGCTGCTCTTCCAGAGGACCGTGTTTTGTTACCAGCACTCTTATCAGGCAGTTTACAATCACCTAAAACTCCAGCTCTCCGGGACTCAGCACTTCCCTGGCCTCCATGGGCATTTGTACACACATGGCATGTGTTAATACAAGTGCGCGCGCGTGTGTGTGCACACTGGTCCAGTAACTCCACCTGTTCTTGAGTCTGTCACTGTCATCACTGGCCTGACTAGTAGACAGGATTCTGCAGCACAAGGGCACAGAAACCCAAGATCTTCCTAACACTAAGAAAAGTCAGGCTGCCTATTAAGTAGCAGCAAATGACAGACACTCATTTCTGCAACAGATTTTAAAGGGACCCTCTGGTGTAAGCACACCTTAGTGACATTCTTGATCCAGTGCCCATCTCAAAATAGTCTTGAGAGACTCCACCAATTTGGAAACCATGTGACATGCAAAGGCCACCCTCCGAAGTTCTTGTGCTTGCTGATGAATTCCCAAGGCAGTTTCAGTCCTAGGAAGTGCTCTTCAGAATTATTTTGGAACTCTTCTGAGTTCATTCATGAGCCAAAGGGCACCACTGAGCAGAGCCAAGGAGCCTGATTGGTGTGTGGCAGCCAGGGGAGTTGGAACATACATGAGCAGGGTGCTAATACCCAAGGCCACCTGTTGCAGAAGAAAGAAGAAAGGCAGTGATACTGAAAGTGCCTGCACGTGGACAGCCAGATACACCAGCCTCCACAGTGCCACATCAGAGCATTAAGAAGCATTATATTCTTTGAGACTCTAGTCCATGCTGGCCTAGAACTCATAGTGCTAGCAACCTTATTTAGTCTTCTGAGTGCTAGGATTATAGACACGAGCTACCATACCCAGTTTCTACCTTCCCAGTCTACACTGATAGTTACCATTACCAGTTTCTATATGCCTTACTTTCATATACGTGGTTACTGAGAGATAAAGGTTTTCATTTTTGTTTGTTGGAGGCAGTTTCACTGTGTAGCCCAGACTAGACTAGAACTCACTATGTATACAAGGCTATTCTTGAACTCACATGCCTCTGTCTTCCAAGTGCTGGAATATACAGATACATAGTTTTGTGCTGTTAAAAATACTGTTCTGTCATCTGATTTTTCTTAAACTGCCAGGCAGTATTCCACAGCAAAGATACCATGGTTATTTTAGTTTGTTTCCAGTTCTAATCATGAGAGTTCTGAGTTTCCTCACACAAAGCTCCTAGGGTATTTCTAAGGCAGACACACCATCAGTTTTCTGGACCAAAGTGTTATACATTATATGTATCATGTATATTGCATAATTGCCCTCTAAGGAAAGCTATTATGGTCTCACCAAGAACACCAAAATGTATCAATTTTCCTATATCCATGCTAATAACATTATCTCTTTGCCTGCATTCCCCACATCCAAAACTCAGCCCTCCACACAGTGATGAGCACAAAATGATATTCATTAAGTTGCTCCTCTCTGATATTAAAAAGCTGCTGTGTTTATTAGCCGTTTGTCATTCCTCTTACAACAATAGTGTACTGTTACTTTTTGTGTAGTTTTTCATTATTAATCTACTATTAATATTAACTGGATGATTAACATTAACATTAACATCTGGATGTTAACATAACATCTGGATGATGCCACAGATCAAGAAGGGCTTTGTACCTGTGTGTATGCCAAAGCGAGCAGAGTCACTGCTGCCATCTTGGTCCTTCGAGGAAGGGGGACTCTCCGGGACAGGAAATAGAGCGCCGTAATGGCAGTGACAGACGTGATTCCCTGGGAGAAAAAGATTTGTCACACACAAGCTAGGATTTCACCCACACTGACCCTATTCAACTCATAACTCTCCCGAACCCCGAGCAACCAGGAAGACCATTACTAGTCACAAGGACACTGTTCCACCCCTGTTGTTCCTCACTAGCATCGCCCACAGTCCTCGTCTGCTGGAACTGAGGTGGCACTGTCACCCAGGGCACCACCTGAGTTTGTTTACTACTTTATACACACTTACCTTCTCTCGGGTGAGAGCCTTACTCTTTAAATCAGATCTTATATCCTTAGCTGTAATTTTATATCTAATTTTACATTCTTGTTTTTTTCTCAAAGACTTATTTTATCTTATATGCATGGATGTTTTGCCTGCATGCATGTGTGTGCACCATGTGCATGAGGCACCTGAGGTCAGAAAAGGGTACTGGAGCCTCTGGAACTGGAGTTAGTGTGAGTCCCCGTGTGGCTGGGAACTGAACCTGGGACCTCTGCAAGAGCAATCAGTGCTCTTAACCACTGAGCCATCTCTCCAGCCCTGATCCCTTATTAAAGCAGGGCTGACCTTAGCACATAAAGGGTTTAACTTCCCCGGGTTGTGAGTAGAGGGGATGGTAGTGCTTCCAGTGTTAAACACAATGAAAATCTTGGTTTCATTTATATCAGAATGAGGGTCTGGGGTAGCAATAGGTTTCTTTTCTGCAACCATGCCAGAGAGAATGTTTTCTATCATATCTTTACATCTGTTTCAGAACGGGCTATAGGGGCAGATCCAACCATACTTTATTTATGCTGAAATACTGTGTAGGGGTGGGGACTAACTACCTGGGAATGTCAGCCCTAGCCCATGGATATGAGTCCTCTCTGGATCTCCTTGTCTGCCATCTCACACTCAGCATGCCTCCATCTGATGACATCCTGCCTTTAGCTTAACACTCTCTCTAGAGGTTCCATTTCTGTTGGTCATGTTTTAGGAATGCTGCAGGAGAAACTGTGGGATCTCCTTTGATCTCTCTTAACATGTTTTCCTGACAGCTAATGTTAACTTCATGTTCCTCTAAAGCTCCTCTCAGATCTGCAGCTATCAAGGTCTTCCACTTAGGCCTTGTCCCCTGTGACCCTACCCTGCCTTCTCTAACAACACTGGGGTCTCCTGGGTGCCCCAGTTCATCACACTCAGGCTGCCAGGCCAGTCTTGGTACTGTTCCCACACCCTCAGTACCTATGGGCTTTATAAACGGAAAAGTATTAATGCGGTACCTTTGGGGCTCTACCAGAGCTATGTGCTCAGCCAGAGACTACAGTCTGTTGGCTGATCGCGCACATCCTGCTGAAATGGAGGCATGTTCACAGTTGAGGGAGTTAGTATTACCTTGCCTATCTGATTCTAAGCTTGAATTTGGGTGTAACCACAAAAATGTCAGATTAGACAACTGGTCAGTCCTACAATTGCTTCCAGAAGAATAAGCAGCAACTGCCTCACTGGCACTCCCAAAACGTGTGTGAGGGTCCCAATGCCCAGCAGCACAAACCAGCACACTTACCAGAAGCCGGTGATCAAACTGCACCATGGTGGGATTCTCGAAAACATTCTTCAGGATGGGGGAGAAGGTAAGGAGGTCCTCTGGGATCCAAGAGTCTCCCATTTTAGGGAAGGAGTTGTAAACAAGGCCCGCATCCAGTCCTGCCACGAAAGCCCCTGCATGCCAAGATACGCAGGACTTATCAAATGAAGACCAAATAGTAGCTCTGAATACAGAAGTCCCCTACCCCAGAGCTAGACAAAGGAACTGTTTGGAGGATAAAAGAAAAGTGGCATTTGGGCTTCCTGGGTAGAGAACATACACTACAGTCTCCACAGGAACTCAGCAACACCTCGAACCCTTATCTGCTCCGACCCCAAGATGGCAGTGTGTCTCTGCTAGAAGCCAGAAGCTCTGGAGGAGATGCCTATTAATTTGGAAAAAGTCCTTTGTTTTTAACTGTGTGTCCCTCCTGTCCCTAACTACTGCTGATCTTAGAACTTTAGGATTTACACTCTCATTTCCTCAGCGTCTGCTCAGACATCACCTTCTTATCAGAGGAGCCCCTGGTGGTCTGACATGGCACTCTTTGGCTCCATTCCTCTCCCTTCATCTTGCTTTATTTTCCTCACGCTAAATGTTACCAGACATGTTTTTGCTGTGCATTTTCCGTATTTCTTCCCAAGGATTCAACAAATATTTGTTGAAGGAACAAAGAAGATACAAAAAATTCACAAACTTACAAACTAAACCCTGGATAAGCACAAAAAGAAGGCAGGTGTGAATGGATGGATGATAGATCCGTTATTACCGACAGGGAGTCAAGGAAATTTGAATCATTTTTGTCAATGTGACTTACAAGATCAAAATATACATTATACAGGAAAGAAGTGAAGAACAGAGAATCAGGGGCAGGGTAGGCTCTTGGTCTGAATTAATGTTATGGTCATGACCGAGCAGCACTGTCCAATCAAACCTTCTGTGATAATGGAAGTGTTCTATGTCTGTTTCCTGCAATACATTAGCCACAAGCCACAAGTACCTGTTGATCATTCAGTGTGGCTAGTGTAACTGAATGAAAGCTAAATGTTATTTAACCTTAATTTAAGTTTAACAACATGGAGATTCTGATTCCTGTATTAGACAGTACATTCCAGAGTGAGAAAGGTAAAGGTTAACATATAATTTAAAAAAGAAGTTTAAGGCTGGAGCAATGGCTCAATGGTTGTTGCTCTTCCAAAAGACCTGAGTTCGATTCCCATCACCTATGTTGGTGGCTCCCAACTACATGTAACTCCAGCTACAGGGGATCCAATGCCTTCTTCTGGCCTTTATGTACACCTGCACACATGTGGCATATAATCACACAGACACACACATGCACGCACAAATAAAGTTTAAAACTCTCAGGAGGAAAGAGGAGCTACAGGTCCCAGCTCCAGTGACCTGAACATCTTTGACCATCACTGAGGATAGGCCACCTGTCTGATCCACTCTGGTGTAATGTGTACTAATAATGCTTACATAGGACAACTAACAGCCTTTGCTACACACCAGGCACTGTCTCAAGCACGCCATCTACATGACATACAGTCATCATCTCATCATCTCTCTTTTATACAGTTTGCAGTTCCCAGCTGAGGCTAGAAACCGATTTGGACTTGGGCAGAATGAATTTAAGTAAATATGCTCAATAGTTCTGTTCAACTGAGTGGACAGTCGGAGCTGAAAGCAGAGGGTAAATGGGGGAGCAAAGGAGCCAAGCATGATAGGAAAAGATAAAGAGGCAGCGGGAATAACAGTGTTAAACAAGAAATGCCACTTTACACTTGGGACAAGTGGGATGGAACTGCTGGGGTGTGTGCTGGGATGAAGCCTACCTGAGAGAGCCGTAAGGAAGACCAGGCCTGCTGTGCCACCAGCAAAGCGCCTCAGCCACAGGAGCTGTTGGGTTTCAGGTAACTGAAAAGGATAATCAGGTTATCTGTTTGGTAGGAACTATGGAGGCAGCAAGATCTCCAAATCCAAACCCAGACAATTTCAGGTTAGACTGTCTCTGTCTGCTAACAAGGATGAGTACCCCAACAGACAGACACTGCTCTAACATTGGATAAGTACCCCAGCAGACACTGCTCTAAAAATGATAAGTACTCTAGCAGGCACTGTTCTAACATAAATCTGTTTCACTGTTAGACATTTATTATGTATCTTCCCAGATACTACAAATAATTAAAGAGCCCCCAGTAGCTAGTAGTCACTGGGATAGAGAACATGACACTAGGTCACTTAACTATCATCTCAAATTCTTTCTATAATTAGGTAGAATATAAACAAATAAAAGGGAAAAACTGATAAAAGTTACCAGTAACCTACCAGAGTGAAATTCCAGTGTTTGGGTATGTGTGTGAGTGTGTGGGCACACATGAGCACTAAAGGAAAGGGGTGAAAAGATTTTAGGGGTTGAAATGGAAGAGCAAAGTGCCAGCAACTAGCTGTAGATGCAGGCAATTTATTTTATAAATTTGCCTTGGAAGTCAGAGGAAGAATTTTTAGATGAGGAATATTTACTATGAAAATGTTTCAATATTTGGCATTCCTATGAATATCTCCAGTCCTTACTGGGACCCAAGCCCCTAGCTTATCTATTAGCTAATTATACTGAAAAGTCTGATGTCACATCAATATATATATTGATATATCCATATATCCAAAGAATTGAAACTGGCGTCTTAAAGGTCTAGCTGCTTACCCATGCTCACAGACACATTCTTTACAATAGCCACAGTGGGAGCAGCAGGTGTTCGAAAGAATCTGAAGTTTAACTTACTAACTTTTCATTAGAACCAGATTTCCCCCTGCCTTGTCAGTACCTGTGCAGCTGTGGTAACAACGCAGACTGACACAGACCGACATTTACCTTGTGCTGAGGAAGTAGCAGTGAGAGTGAGGTCCACAGGCTGGCACAATACAGAACAAGTGCTGACCCCAGGTGGGCTGCGAGGCGGTACTGACTGACCCGAGGGATATCGTAGGACTCTGGCTTTTCTTCTAATCCACTTTTCACCATATACCAACCCAAGAGACCCTAGAATTCAAGCAGAGAGGGGCAAATCAGACAAGGTTTGACCTGCTAGGTTCTACTGAGAAAGTACATTATTAGAAAGAACACCCTTCCTGACCGGTTTCCACACCCTTCTAGTGTTCAGGAAGTGTGAACTGTTGGCAATTCTGTATTAACAGTATTAGTGCTTGATCACTGTGTAGACTTACGTTTTGTTAAAGTATAGTTCAGGTATATGAAATCACACAAAAGCTTATCTGCACTCCAAACTCCATAAATACTCTATATAATTTAATATGTAAACCACTGAAACAGAATAGTTTATTCTATGAAAACTAGATTGTATTTGGAAAAAGCTTAATAAAGGCTAACTATTTAAAAAACAATTACTGTCAAGATAGGAGGGTATAAGATGCTTCGTAAAAATATATTTCTACTCTCTAAGAAAAATGAAACTGGAAACTTTAATTTATGGAGATGAAGACATTTAAAGTTGAACTTCAAATTCCAAATTCAGTCAAAGAAAGACCAGCTCTTAGGAAGGAATGAAGAAAGGAAGAGGGAGGAAGACTGGTAAAGAGAGTGTATGTTTAAGCCAGATGTCCGCACAGACTTGGAATCCCAGCCCTTGGGCAGCAGAGGCAGCAGGATCAGCAATTTGGGTTGTACTTGGCTACATAGCAAGGTGGAGGTCAGACTGGGTACATGAGACCCTGTCTCATAAATCCAAACAATAACAACAGAATCACACCATTCCCCAACAACACGCGTGTTTATGTTTAGAAAGCTCACAGAGTGTATTACTCTCCATGGACCTTGCTGTAACTAGCAAACAGCCCAACTACATCAAGTCCAATCTTATTAGATAAGACAGAATCATTTCACCCACTGCCTCCTTTCCACAGATTCTGGTCAAAGGAGTGAGTGTCTACTACTTCTTCAGGTAATCCTTTGGGAATATTTCCTTCTCTCCTCAAGATTAGCCTGGCTATTGTAATTACCTTTCATCTTCAGGGACCCTGGAATTCTCTAGTCCAACTTGCTTCCTCCCACAATCCTATCTGACAACTTAAATTTCTACCTTAATTTTTAATATTTAATTATAAAATTAAACTTACATTTTATTCCATCTAATTTGCTTAGTTACTAAAATAGAATGAAAGTCAACTTTTATAATATACTTCTATAAAGTAAGTTTTATTAGTGTCTAATTCTTTATTGTAGTTTCTATTGCCTCATTAATCGCTGTTTTTTTTTTTTTTTTTTTGATTTGTTGAGACAGGGTTTCTCTGTGTAGCTTTGTAGACCAGGCTGGCCTCAAACTAACAGAGATCCACCTGCCTCTGCCTCCCGGGTGCTGGGATTAAAGGTGTGCGCCACCACCACCTGGCTATTAATCACATCTTAGTTAGCTTATTTCCTTACCACTTCTGAGTTAATTAACTATCTAGTTTCCTACTGGTCAAATGTTGATGTTTCTTTGATGCTATGACACCATCAGGACCTTTACACTTTGACCAAATATTTGTAGGAATCTTCTCTAGTTCCTTTTCTTTGTTCTTGGCTTTAACTGTGAGAATCTCCCAAAGCTCTTTTCCTTAAGAAAAGTCTAGCTTACATGATTTTAAATACCACTTATACTTGAACATCAGCTACATCTGTATCCCAACTCTCATCCCCCAAACTGTTTCTTTTGTAGTCCCTCTACAATAGGGATCACTCTTTCTAAGGCAGCAAACAAGTTAGACTAAATGGAAGAGAATACAGGAAGAGAGACACAATTGAAACATGAACTCTATCTACTTCTAGTAGTCCAAGAAAATGTACTTACTGAGTGCTTTCTGATTTTTAGACACCCAGCTAACTGCTTTACAGATATTATCTCATTTAATATCTATACTCCCTAAGTGGCACTATTACTATCTCTTCCTACAGTAAGTAAGGAAATCAGAAAAAAGTCAGACAGCGTGTCCTCAGTGACAGAACTGGGCTTAAAGCCAAGCCTATGACACTAAAATGCTTATTCTCAACTAATCTACTGTACTGTGTCAAAGATGATATCCTTAAATAATGCCAACTAGGAAGCTCTGTGGAGCATTTCTGGTTTCCCACTCTTGAATAAGTCTTACCTGGAAACAAACTAAGCCACATAGGGCAAGAACTCGTCCTTTCATGCCACGGCTGAGCCAACCCTTTCTCCAAAAATAGGCAGCAGGCAGGATGTACGCAAGGCCTACAGCTCGACCCCACATTCGGTGCGAGTATTCCATGTACCAGATAAACTTGAATTCCGCCAGTGTCATGTCATGATTCAGGCTAGGTGAAATGGGAGTCAAAAATGAAGAAAGATGAAACTGCTATTGGGTTTATTTACTTATTCTGTGTGCATGGGCACAAATATGCCACAGTATGTGTGTGGGTCAGAGATAATTTTTTGGGAATCAGTTTTCTGTTCTCTCCTTCCACCTTGTTATATGGAACTGTGAGCGAAATAAATCCTTTCCTCCCCAAGTTGCCTTGGTCATGGTGTTCCATCACACACACACACACACACACACACACACACACACCCTTGATCACACACAAATCAAGACATTTACCTGATTTTTTTCTAACACTTACATTTTAAATTCTGGAAATTGCTGGTATTTTTGGAATTCTGCTTCCCATTCTTCTTGGCTTGTGGGTGGCTTCATCTCCTTTATTAAATGCCAGTCTACCATTGAGAGGCCAGATTCCGTCAGCCTTAGAACAGAAAATTGTGATTGTATGATTCCAGAGTATTCATAAACAGTTTATGGCAACAAGTAGATGTGAACTTAACTTGTAGGTATGAACTCGTTTCCTCTTCCTTTTTTGTTTGTATTGCTGGATATGGAATCCAGGTTCTTGCACAAACAAGCTCTCATTTCTTTATACTTTTAGTTTATTCTCTCAATTCTTTTATTCAATCTCACCCCCTCACCCCGCCCCATTTACTGTTTTCCTGAAACAGGGTCTCTGAGGTAGCCTGGGCTTGCCTCTTACACGTCCAAGTGCTGAGATTACAGGCTTGTGCCATCATGACTGGGCCCCATTTCATTCTTTCATTAGCATTTCTTTACAGGCAAAGACAATGTTTAGATTAAGGAAATGTGTAATGAAGGCATAAACACATCCTCATTATTTTAGTGCTAAGGACTACACTCAGGGTCTTGCACACACAAAGTATTCATTCAACCATTGAGTTATATATAACACCAGCTAAAACTAACATTCTCTACGGCCGGAAAAGAGACTTATTGAAGAAGTACAGGTTCAAGATACTACATCTGTTGCAATTTCCCATAACAGCCTATGTTTAACAACACAGTATTTTGAAACAGGAGTGTAACGAATATGACGATAACACACATACACACTTCTTTAAAATTAAAAAGTAGGGGCTGAAGGGACAGCTCACCCAATAAAGTGCTTGTCTGAACATGAACACAAGCCCAGAACCTATGTGTAAAAACACAAAAAAACAGGCACAATACACACCCTTTAATCCCAGTTCTGGACAGGTTGAGACAAACATTCTGGGAACTTGATGGTCTATGTGGCAAGTTCAAGGTCAGTGACAGGCCTTATCTCAAAAAAAAAAAAAAAGAAAAAAAAAAAAAAAAAAAAAAAAAAAAAGGAAAAGGGGGGCAGCACCTAAGAATGAAACTCCAAGTCATCTTCTGACTTCTCTACATGTATGCAGACACCCATGCACACACAGGCACACACACTAAAAAGTACTCTCACCAAAAAGGAATCATGGCTCCTCATGTAAAGACCAAGGCAAGAAATGTACAAAATAACCCTGGAAAACCTTATCCTACCAGAGAGCAAAGATGCTATCAAAGGACCTTGTCCAAAGATGCTGGGACCAATGTCAAGAGATTCCTTCCTACCAATTAAGACTGGAGAAGTTTAAGCAAGCTATCAACATAACCCTCACGGTGGACTAAGACATATCAAATGTATTTAAATATATGAACTCATAACAAAACTTCAAAACCCAAATCCTCTATGTGTAGCCTTTGAAGGATCTCGGGAACAGATTTACTATTTTGAAAATTAGTAAATAAGAGAGTGAATTAAGGCGTGCCTTTCCTATAAAGACTGTATCCTGGGGTAATGAAATTGCTAATGAGGGAAAGTTTCTGTCTATAGTTAAGCTAATAAAGTTTTGGAAGTTTTGGAATTCTAATGAAATAATGGAGACAGGCAATAATAATCAAGACAGGCGAAGCCCCCAAAAGATTCTAGAATGAATGCTCCAATCACCTATGCAGTATTTTGCCCCCTCACTACCAAACTAAATCTAATAAGCATCTACTCATTTACAGGACAGATAGGAACATAGACTGTGTTAGACGTCACTAGATAGTCAGACTGTGGGTAACCACAGGACAAATGACTTGGCCTTCTTCAATAACAACAAAACTTTGAAGACGTGACAAGAGGGAGACCCTAAATCCATGAAGTCTGTTTACAGATGTATCGATAACCTAAGAGACATACGAAGCAACTGTGGTACACGAACATGCATGTTTAATTTAAGCAAACAAACTGCAGGGGGGAAAGTTGAGATAAATCTGAACACTGGAGAGGTAAACTACAGAAACAATGCCCAGCCACCAGGGAAGAGTGAAACCTGTCATGATGGGCTCCTACTAATAAAACACTAAACTGTTGTAAAACAGAGCAAGTTATTTAGTTTCTCCATCTGCGAATTGAGAGAGCTAAACCAAAGGATGCCCAAAGCCCCTTTTTCCCACTGATGACCTGATTCACAAAGAGCAGAGGACTCACCTAGTTACTCCTCCAAGAATAACTGCTCCAGCTACCGTCCCACTGCACACAAGCAGCCATCGGCCCACTGCCTGCTCAGCTGCTTTCGAAGGAAGGGGCACTGTACCTTTTCCAGATTGCAAAGCCACTTCAGTAATGGTGCCATATTGCCCTGGCCTCAGAGGACGCCTGCTGCCAAAGCTGCAACCCCACTAAGGATCAAGAAAGAAAATCATAACTGAAGAATCAGGGAGAGACTGCTACCCACACTCAGCCTCGACGTGCCTGGAGAAAAGCATCCCATAAGGCTGCATTTTCACAGCTACCAATCTGGTTGAATCGCTGTCTCTCATCTGGACTACTGGGACCCTTTTCCTAAGGGGCTTTTCCTTTCAGTCTCTAAAGGTGCTGTACCCCTTCCACCCCCCAACATGTGCCCTTGCCTGACTGACACTACCCACTGTAGATCTGGGCTTGCGTTGCTACTCCCAGACTTTTCAGCGTCTCACAAAAGGCCACTCTCACAGCACAAGGTCCTCCCTACCACAACCCTTAACACACTGCCATGTCTTCAGGTGGTCTGTCCCTGTGACTCACTAATCTTCCAGCTCTGCATGGCAGGTTCCGCTCAATCTTTCTCTCTCTTACTGCCTTTGTTTGTAGCATCGGGCCCTTACACACAGCAATACACATTTAACAAGTGAACCAACAATGGAGTGAACTGACTCCTCCAGGGCAGGGGCCATGTGAGCATTTATTTTTCTCTTCCTAGATCATGACCCAGAGACTAGAATCCTCTGCTTTCTCTTCTCATCCCAAAAACCTTTCACCTTTTACTAACAGTTATCAGATAAGAGAATGCATGTCCTCTTTGGTTCTAACCCTACGAGTAAGAAAATGTGTGTTCAGTTTCCTAGTTCTAATTAGCTGGGTAACGAGACAAACAACTTAGAGTAAGCCTCAATTTTCTTCTCTGTAGAATGGGGTTATACAGCACTTCCTGACTTAGCAAAAACCAAATGTGCAAAAAATAAAATAACTGAGCGTTTATCACGTGCTAAAGGTTTAATGTATATTTAAAAACTGAACCCTCACCAACACCTTGTGAATCAGTAGTCACCCCATTCTACGGATTAGGAAACTGAAACATAAAGGCTAAATAAATTGGCCAGTAATACACAAACAGGGGGCAGTAATTCCGGATCCTCATTCGGGGACTGTCTGGACACAAGGAAATGCGTCGTGAGATCAGGGGACACCCCAGCCGGGCTCCCGCGATGGGACCCAGCTGCAGTGGGTACCTGTGCTCTGGACGCAGGCCCAGGGACGAGGAGCCCGACACTGCGGCTCCCCACGAAGGCTTTCAGGGGCGGAAGGAGCAACCGCTGCATACTGACAGCGCGCCGCCAGCTGCGGTCCCCGTCTCCTCCGGGAAAGCAGAAACACTTCCGGGTGAGGAGCCGCGCGCGTGCCCCCTCCGCGGCCGCTGGCC